AAGGCTTCCAAAGGAAGTAGGGGTAAGTTGAATGGGGATTACCTAGCAGGGAGTAGAGTTTGGGCAGAAGTGTTTTAGAAGTTCTGAATTAGGGATTAGAGGACAAGCAGGAGGTAGGAATTTATTAGCCAGAGGACAGAACAGGGGAAATACTGAATATCTTGGACCCTCGTCCTCCAGGTTCCTATGACAGGAAGTGGCAGCTGTGCCAGGGAATTAGCCTATTCTGTTTTCTTCACATTTCTCCCCTTTTTCTCTTTCTCTCTCCTCTTAAATGCATATTTCCTCTCCTCTCTTTTTCTCCACCTCTGTCTCTCTGTTTCTGTTTCTCTCTTTCTCTCTCTCTCTTTCTTCCTTCTTCTCTCTCTGTTCTCCACCTACATCTAATCTGCTTTATATTCCTCCCTATAGGAAATCCAGCAGCGCCATGGACTAGCCAACTCTATCTCTTCCTACTTAATCAAGCCCGTCCAGAGGATCACTAAGTACCAACTGCTCCTGAAGGTACCCACCATTCCCCTAGCTCCATCCTACTCCCCTTCACCTCCACCTGTCACCTAATCAGGTGTCTCAGCATTGTTCATAATGATGGAGAAGTTCCCAACCCTAGACCCTTTCTAGCTTCAATCCCAAATCAGCATTTTAGAAACTGCCAAGATTTAGTTCTCTTAGTTCTAGGCTGATTTCTCCTTTTTCCAGGATGTTTTGTACTTGGAGCATAGAAAGAAAGGAGGCTTTCCCTAGAAGAGAGTTTCCTGTACAGTGTAGGACAATACCCCCTAGGGAGGCCACCATATATGGTCGATTGCTATATAAGCCCCTCTCTCTTCTCTGGCACAACACTCATGGTCACCCTGCTTCCAGCTGACTCAAGAACAAAGGGTCCTCGGGTTCAGGACCAAGGGCAGCTTTCCTGAGACTGGGAATCCAGGGCGTCAGTAGCTTTTGCCTAATTTCTGTGTTTGTCTAGCACAAAGTATTTTTGGGGTTTTTTTGTTTTGTTTTGTTTTTAATGCAATGGACCTGGCTGTGGGAGAGAGTATTCTTTAAGCTCTCTGGGAGCTGTTGAAACAGGAACAATCCTCATCTGTTTTTCTTTTAAGACCAAGTCAATTTAAACTTCTTATTCCACAGGGGAAAATATATTTTTTAATCTAATAAATATGTTACTCTCCCAGGGGCCTGGAAAAAATATAGTCAAGGTCCTGTGATTTTTTAACCAGGTCATTCCTTCAACTGCCAGGATAGAATCTCTCCCCATTTTGTCTGGTCACTACTTGACAAGTTGCCTTTCAGATCCAGCTAAGCCTTTGCATTAAGATGAGGGAATATGGGAGGGAAGCCTCTGTAAGAAGTTCCAAAAAAACCCTGAACCATGAGAATTCAGTTCAACAAACAATACTGAGCACTGGGTTTACAAAAAGAAAAGGAAACAGGCCCTGTTTTCAAGAAGCTTACATTCCTCTGGGCGATACAGCATAATGTGTGAACAGATAAGTATTTGTATAATCATTTGAGGAGGATGGAGGGAGCATTAACCCTGCTGGCTCCAACTCATCCTTCAAGGGAGAGTTTAGAAAAATGTTGTCCTACCTCCCAATGAACAGTCAGCCTGATGTCCAGAAATGGGTAATGAATTATGATTTAATTTGTTCACAATTCACATCATAAGGCACTCTTAGCAGAAAGAAGTGTGATCCTGTTTGAAATTCAGTGAAAAGAGCATAAAATAAGTTGGGGAGGTGAGTGGTCATCAGGATAAGGGTGAAGAGGGACAGAGATTTGTCCCCTTGTGCCTCTGATTACATATTTTGGGTATAGGAGCCTGGCCATGCATCATACCCACCTACTACCCTTCTCTTTTCTTCAGACACCTCCTATCTGTGTGACTCTAGAACAGTTACTTAACCTCTCTGAGACTCATCTATAAAATGGGGATTTATAATGCTTACACTCCCTGCCTCAGACTGTAGATCTTAAAGTGCTATGTGAATGGGAACTGTCAATTATTAACCTTATTATTTCTGCAAAAGGTCTGGGGCATTCAGATTTCAGTATGACAACACACATTACTGAAAACCACTCTGTAAATCCTTCTTTGTTAGGATTATAAAGCTGATCCAAGTTGCATTGGGACTAAAAGACATAAGACAAAATGTCTAAAATAAATGTCATTGACTTCATGACTTCTTTTCATTCCCCTTGTGTTCTGAATCCCTTGAATTCTAAGATAGGGACTGAGAAAGACATAGTCAAAAGAGGTTGGGGTGGGGTTCTGGAAGAGAGAAAAATACAGAAAATCCTGAGGATATTTGCTTATCAGCAATGCTGGAAATAGGATATTAATGAACTAGGAGAGAAAAGCAGGCACTAAGAAAGTGAGCTGGGTCACTCTCCAATACCTTGAATGCTGTTGCTTGGCCATTTTTCATTTTTGTCCAATTCGTCACACCCTTCTTTTGGGGGTTTTCTCGGCAAAGATACTGGAGTGGTTTGCCATATCCTTTTCCAGCTCATTTTACAGATGAGAAAATGGAGGTAAACAGGATATAATGACTTGTGCAGGTTCACACAGCCAGTAAGTGTCTGAGGCTACGTTTGAACTCAGCTCATCGTGACTCCAGGCTCAGCACTGTATCCACTGTGCCACCTCACTTCCCTACCTTGAATGTAACAAGAATTTAAGAAACGTTTGTTGAATTGAAGTGAATTGAAATGGATAATCTGGGGGTGGCTTAAAGGAAACAAATGGAATTCTTGCCAGACGCTATTGTGAGGTAATTTTTAAGGCTACTTTAAGTCTATAGCAGAAGCTCCAGCTGAATAAAAGGAAAAAATAGTTTGCTGAACTATTAACATCAATAATAAATAAGAAGGTTTTTACAAATAGACTCTGGGGTTTCCATCATTGAAGTCTTTTGTGTTCCAAGTAACTTGACTTTTAATTAGTGATCATCTCTGCCAACAGATGGAAGACTTTAGATACAATGGAAGAATGGAAGCCATATGTCCATTAGAGAGTTTGATATTCACTCTACAAATCGCTTTATTTGCCACATTTTTCCTGTTGGGCTTTTTCAGGAAGTGATTAATATATTCTTTCAATTTCTATTTTGCCCTCAGGTTCTAAAATATCAGGGCAGTTTTCCTTGGTAATTTCTTGAAAGATGATGTCTGGGCTCTTTTTTTTAATCATGGCTTTCAGGTAGTCCAATAATCTTCAGATTATCTCCCCTGGATCTATTTTCCAGGTTAATTGTTTTTCCAATGAGATATTTCACATTGTCTTCCTTTTTTTTCCCCTTCTTTTTTGTTTTATTGTTCTTTGGTTTCTCATAAAGATTCCACTTGCTCTATTCTGATTTTTAAGGAATTATTTTCTTCAGTGAGCCTTTGGACCTCTTTTTCCATGTGGCCAATTCTGCTTTTTAAGGTCATATTGGGCTCTTAATGAAATATGTAGCAGTTCCTTACCAGAAGCAGAGACCTGAAGAGAACTGAGTGCTCATTACTGGTAGACCAGTAGGTTAAATCCATTGGCATATTTTGTTCTAAATGAATACATATTTTCCATTGTTTCTGCCTGGGAAGTTCCCTTAACAATATCAAATTACCAGAGGATGAAGTTTGTTTTCAAAGTAAAGGGAGAAAAAACAATCAGTGAAATAAGAGAATATTAAAGTTTCTGTATAACAATGATGTCAAATCAACTACAACAAAGTGAAGTTGATAAGGAGTATAAGATTGGAAGTCAGAAGGCCTGGGTTCAAATTCTAACTCTACCTCTTTCTAACTTTGTGATCTTGAGCAAGTCATTTAACTGCTCCAGGTCTCAGTTTCCTATATAAAATGAGAGGGTTGGGGCAGCTAGGTGGCGCAGTGGATAGAGCAATGGCCCTGGAGTCAGGAGGACCTGAGTTTAAATCCAGCCTCAGACCTAACACTTTATACTAGCTGTGTGACCCTGGGCAAGTCACTTAACCCCAACTGCCTAAAAATATAATAAAATAATAAAAACAAAAACAAAAACAAAAAAAAGAGGGGGTTGGACTAGATCAGAGTTTCCCAAACTTATTTGGCCTACCACCCCCTTTTAAAAAAATTACTCAGTGCTTTCCTGGAAATCTACTTTCTTTAACTCTTTATTTTTTTTTTTGAAATTTGCATCATTAAAAAATATAAAATATTTTTAAATGGTGCATGTTAAATTTAATAATTTATTGTAAATTTGTGGGGGTTTTCCTGCATTGAAATTTTGATAACTCAATATTGCATCATGTAACCTTTATAATATGGTACTGTAAACAAGTCATTACATGCACATATTCCTGCTGATGCATGCTGGACTTCCTGACGATGTGTGACATACTTGCCTGCCAACACCTGCTTGTTAGGACCTATTGGCAGACTTGACCACTGATTGGTTGCATTTTGTGTGTTTATTTGGAAAATAATGTAATCACTACAACTTTAACTCTGTCACACAACTGATGAAACATGTATTAACAGTTTGTCAAAATTTTCTTCTCTTTCCTTATGCTTCCACCACCCCCTTATTTTATTCAACACCCCCAATTGCACCCAAGGCTATTACTGCCCCTTTGGATCATTCCAGTGCCCCCGAGGGGGTGGACCAGATGATTTCTGAGGACTTTCCCAACTCTAAATCTATGATCCTATATACCTAAATCCACTGGAGAAGAGGACATAGCTGAGACTTAGTAATTTGTCTTCAAATTTAAAACCCTTCTTCTGAACTAGAAGAAGGATCCCTGTCTGATGGTTGGAATTTGTGAAGAAGAGCAAGACTTATTCCAGTGGTGATGGAGAAAGGAGATAAGAGAAGGTTGGGGATAACTGAGAGAGTTAATGAAGAGTTCAGAAGTTAAAAAACGCATCCTTTGGCTTTGGCCACATATTGATCTAGAGAGCCTTCTTACAGAAAGAGACAGTAGACCTGGGTCTAAATCCACCTCTTCCAACCCCCATCCTTGACATTTATTGGCTATGTGAGAGTTAACAAGTCAATGAACTTCTCTGAGCCACAGCTTTCTCATCCAGAAAATGGAGACAGAAATGCTGTCTGACTTGCAGGGTTGTGAGGATCAAATCAGATAAAATATGTAAAGCACTTTGCAATTATTAAAGTACCATATATGTGTCTGTGTGTTGATCCCTGCACTGGACTGTGGGAAGAGGTAAAAGCAGGAAAACTGATACAGTCCCCATTGTCAGGGACCCTCACTCTGGTAGAGGAGAGAAGAGAACCACATGGGACCAGGAAACGGGAGACCTGGTTTCTAGTCCCATCTAGCTGTATGAGCTCTGGGTCTCAGTTTCCCCATCTGTAAGATGAGAGGGTTGGACTAAGTGACCTCCAAGGTCTTTGCACTCTGACATTCTGTGATTCTACGGAATTCTGTGTTTGTGCTCCCTATCCTCTGAGATCTCCCTAGGATAATAGAGGACACATGGCTTTGCCTTTTGGGGAGCTTCTCCCTGAAGAGGGAAAATAAGATACAGAGGCATTCTTATTCCTCTGAATAAAACTAGTTATAGCTTCACAGAAATGAAATTAGGTGAAATGAGATTTGTACAATTCTTTGCAAACATTAAAGCACTATATAAGGTTAGCTATTATTATTTATAGGAGGATGTGAAAGTTTTATCACATCTTTTTTTTCCCTCCATTTATCAATCAACAAGTGTTTACTGAGTCCCTGCTATGTGCTGAGTGAGAGGAAGAATTATGCAATAGATAGAGAGTGGGTCAGGAAGACTTGGGTTCAAATCTCTCCTCTGAACATTACCCTTAAGTGCCCCTAGGCAGCTCTGGAATACTCTAAGCAGCAGAGGAGTTGCTGAACTGCATTGGCAGAAGTGTTAGAAGACCTGCCTATACTGTGATGAAATCTCAGGTCCAGACCCTTCCCCAAAAATGTGCTAGGCTCTAGGGGACACAAAAACAAAATTGAAACTTCCTCTCCTCAAGAAACTAGGTGGTACAGTGGATAGAGTGCCAGACTTGGAGTAGGAAGACTGACCTTCATGAATTCAAATCCAGCTTCAGACACTTACTAGCTGTGTGACCCTGGGCAAGTAGGTCACTTCACTCTGTTTGCCTCAGTTTCTTCATCTATAAAAATGAGCTGGAGAAGGAAATGGCAAATTACGCTTATATCTTTGCCAAGAAAACCCCAGATGGCATCACAAACATAACTGAAATGACTGAACAACAACAAATCCTCAAGGGTCTTACATTCTAAAAGAGGAAACAATGCGTGCACATATGTGAATATACCAAAGAAATCCAAGGCAATACAAGAAAGGGGGAGACGCTTTCAGCTAAGGGGGAGCAAGAAAAGCCTCACATAGGACATAGAAGTCTCTCTGCCTAAATGTCAGCAATACATACTTTGCTCAAGGGGGATGTCTCCTTCCATACTATTGCATCTCCCCCACCTCCCAACCATACACATTCTCTAGCCCTGTTATACTTTTGTCATCAGAATTGGTAGTCAGGAAAAACTCACAGGATGTTATAAATGTTGATGAATTGGTAGAAACTTTGTAACAGCCAAGAGTACCCAGTCCATAGACTCGAAATAATGGATTTACTTGAATAGCACTTGTGTGTAGCTAACTTGAAGGGATGTGCAGCTAATCCTTCCCAGTCATGCTTTCCTCCCGATGGCCACCAGTCCTAAATTAATAAGAGGATTCCTTTGCAAACGTTAGCTCGTTTGAGCCTTACGGCAATACTGTAGAGTATGAAGTGTAGTTGTTTTTAATCCCCATTTTTCAGGTGAGGAGATTGAGGTGCAAAAAGATTAGGTGATTCTCTAAATCAAATGGCATACAACAGAGCCAGGTCTCAAGTCCAGAACTCTGAACTGAACTGAAAAGATTCAGTTCTTTTTCTACTCCAGAATGCTGCTTTGTTTGGACTGGGTGACACTGAATTTAGGGTAGCTCAATCTAGAAAATTGAATGGTTGGTCTTTCTGGGTCACATCCCAACCTTGTCTATAGTTCTGAGGATACATATACTACAGGGTGGACAAGGTGGACAATGGAAAGGTGATCATTGCCTCTAGGAAGCAGAAGGGAGCTATTGGAACCACCTTGATTATGTCTGGACTTTTTCCTTAGGAGCTTTTAACCTGCTGTGAAGAAGGGAAAGGGGAGCTCAAGGATGGCCTGGAAGTGATGCTCAGCGTTCCAAAGAAAGCTAATGACGCCATGCACGTCAGCATGTTGGAAGGTAGTCATCCCGAGCTTACCTACCCATGGGCCTTCTCTTTTTCCTAGGCACAGAGGGGCAAGTGGGAGTGAGCAGTGTAACATAGTACTAAACATGACACAGAACAGTGACAAATTGACAAATAAGCCCCTAATCACTTGTAATTATAAAGAATATTTAGGTATTAAGATTGACAGAAAGTTCTATTGGTCAACTGGTCCGTCCCCCAGCCTCCAAGCAGAGCCATGTTTAAGCCATTCAAGGTATATGGGTCTCAACCCTCCTATTAAATGTGTTGAGAGCAAGTTAGCATATTTATGACCAAAAGTGCCTGAGTTCTAAATGCAAAAATAGTCTTGCTGATTTTATATGAGTTTGTATATTGTTTATTTGCCTATGCAATTTATGTAGATTCTATCTCTCATCCCGAAGCATTCTTCAGTCCTATACCTTTGCTGCCAGGTTAAGTAGGCCAGGAAAGTCACCGAACTCTACAGAGGTGCATTGATCTTCAGGAACCATGTTTCTTTGGCTTAGAGAGGGCTTCAGTAAAGGTATCATAGCACTATAGAACAGATGGACCAAGATGCAATGTATTGGGAAAAGGTGGAATATATTAGAAGAGACAGAATTAAGTGCTTACGTCAGAATTGACAGGCAGAGATTTAAGGAAATACCTGTGCTCACATACACATACACGTGTCCTCCAGGAAGAAAAGATAACAAGGAAACTGGGGTCCAGGCTAGTCAGTCAGTCAGTTAGCCATTGACTTGGGCTCCAATCCATTCCAAGGTCTGAGTTAGAAGAAGTAGAGAAGATATGAAGGAAGTCAGCAAGCATTTACTAAGCAGCTACTATGTGCCACCCCTGTGCTAAGTGCTGAAGATACAAAGAAAGGCAAAAACAGCCCGTGCCCTCAAGGAGCTTATATTCTAATGGAGAGACAACATATGTCCCAACAAGATCTATACAGTATAAATTGGAGATAATGTTCCTTGCCCTTAGGGATCTCCAAGTATGAGGAACGTGGAGGTCACACACACACACACACACACACACACACACACACTACATACATGCTGGAACTATTAAAAAGGTCTACCTAGAGTCCAGAGCTCAACATGCATGTCACCACCAGAAGTTGCCAGAGCAATGAAAATTGAATGCTATCAGTCGAAAGAGTCTGCCCTGAGCAGGTGAGTCTTGAACTTGGCTGTGTATAGCAAGAGAAAAAAACTGAAAGAATGAGAATGCTTATGTGTCTTTCAGGGTTTGATGAGAACCTGGATGTCCAGGGGGAGCTGATTCTCCAGGACGCCTTCCAAGTATGGGATCCCAAGTCTCTGATCCGGAAGGGACGGGAACGACATTTGTTCCTCTTTGAGATCTCCTTGGTGTTTAGCAAGGAAATCAAAGACTCTTCAGGGCACACGAAATATGTTTACAAGAACAAACTACTGGTAGGTGGGGTCCACAAGGAACTCCCTGTTCTCATTGAGCCCTTAGGCTGGAAGGGACCTTGACAAGGTCATTGCATCTTTCTCCTTCCCCACCACCATCACCTTAATCCTAAAGCATCTCAGACAAATGAAGTCTCTGTTTGGAAAGATGCCTACAGAGGGAGATTCCCTAACCCTCCTCATGTTCCTACTTCAATTTTACAGTCAAGAAAATTTTCTTTATGTTGACTGCTTCCTCTTCCACTCTTTTTTGGTCCTTCCCAATTTTGAACAATTGTCTCTCTGTTCTTGTCATCCTGGATAGATGAACAGAATGTACCACTTGTTTAAGTTTGATTGACAGCAGCCCCCTCCCCGGTCCTCTCCTCTTTGTCGCCTTTCCCATCCTACCCCAGTCCTAAGTTTCCCCACTGCCCTGCCCTTCCCCGCCTCTCACAGGCCTTTCCTGTCTACAGACCTCAGAACTGGGTGTGACCGAGCACGTGGAAGGCGATCCCTGTAAATTTGCCTTGTGGTCCGGGCGCACACCTTCCTCGGACAACAAAACTGTATTGAAGGTGAGTCCTGCTCCTTGGTTTTCTTTCCGTCCATGGGCACAGGGACAGTCAACATTCAAGGCTAAAAGACAAGAAGTCTGACTGTCTCCTCACCCCCACTGGAAGGCAGTTTGCCGAGGTTTGGCTACTAGTGACGACTGTGATCTCACATGGATGTTGGAATGGCAAATTAGAGGAAGATGGCAAAACTCTCAGAGATTCCAGGAGGAAAAACTAGCCACTGAGTCTCTCTGAAGATGTGGCCTTCTCTGGCAGCGCTATTGATTTTCATAGACAAATAACCAAGCTATGTTCTGCCATGTGACCACTTAGGGTCACAAGACTGAAAAAGAACAAGTCGGTTTGAGAGGCAACGTGGTATGACGGATAAAAGCTAGACTTGGGGTCAGGAAGATCTGGGTTTAAATACTACCTATGACATTTACTAGGCATATGAGCAAATAATGGGCAAATAATTAACCTCTCTGAGATTTATTTTCTTCATCTGTAAAATGAGAATGCTAATACCCAGAGTGTCTATCTTGCTGTTGTGGGGTTTAAATGAGAATATGTGGAAAGCACTTTGCAAATCTTAGAGCACTATATAAATGCCAGCTGTTTCATGATTATTGTAATTAATTTCATCTAAACACACACAAGAACAGATTGATTCCTCACGTGGGAAAACCAGAATGATGAAAGGTTGAAACAGATGGATTGGAGGTGCTTGAAAGCAGGCCTCGTGGTCAACAAATGTATGATATTTTAGGGTTAATGAGTGAGAGAGAGAGACAGAGAGACAGACAGAGACAGGGGAGAGAGAGAGGAAGAGAGAGAGAGAGAGAGAGAGAGAGAGACAGACGGAGACAGGGGAGAGAGAGAGAGGAAGAGAGAGAGAGAGAGAGAGAGAGAGAGAGAGAGAGAGAGAGAGAGAGAGAGAGCATGCACATTTATTAAACCCTCACTATGTGGATGGCATTCTGTTGCCCTCTATTATTACCAATGCACATAAAAACAAAGATAGTACTTACTCTCAAAGAGATTACATTCTCATTGGGAAAAATAATACATAAAGAAGAACTGGAAAGGTAGGGGGAAGCCATCCCCACAGGGGAAAGGAAGAGCAGCAGTCCAAAGAGTCAGGGGCTCAGCTGGGTTGGAATTAAGCATGGCTTTGTGGGTACTTCATCAAAATGGAGGTTCTTCTGGGGAAGAACTCACAAATCAAAGGCAGAGGCTACAGAGGTGGAGCTGTTGCCAGTGTAAGAAGGCGCAGGCAGAGGTAGAGAAGCAGTAGAGACAAGGGAAGGGGACGGTCATTCCCTGAATTGTTAGCACTTAACGGTCAGCGAGGCTATCCCATACATATGAATGTATAAAAGACTTCAGACTATGCCATATAGGAGCAATACAGGGCCTTAAAGAGATATCAGATGTGCAAAAGAATTCCACCAGCTTCCCTAGAATTCATTCTACAAATCTATACTGAGTACTAGGGGCCTAGTATAGAAGACGGTTCCTGCATTTAAGGAGCTTTCAGGATATACACATATAACACAAATGCATGTGTACAGAGAATGAATAAAAATGATTGGAGGTGGGGGGGAGGATCAAATATGGCCTCAGACACTTACTAACTTTGTAACCCCAGGCAAGTCACTTAACCTCTGTTTGCCTCAGTTTCCTCATCTGTAAAATGGGGATAATAATAGCACCTATCTTTCAGGGTTGTTGTGATGATCAAATAAAATAATAATTATAAAGTCCTTAGTACAGTGCCTGATAAATGCTAGCTATGATAAAAATAACAATATTTAGTATTATTGGTATTATTATTAAGTGCTTACCATGTACCAAGCACCATTCCAAGTGCTGGAGGAATAATAGAATAAATGTATTTGGGAAGAAGTTGATTTTGAAAAATGGAGAACGGGCATAAAGCATCATGGATGGAATGCTGGATTTGGAGTCACGAAGATCTGGGTTCAAATCTCCCCTCAACTGTTACCCTGGGCAAGCCACTTAACTACAGTTATCCCTTCCATGTTGCAGGCGTTAGGGGCGCAGCACCCCTGTGATCTGGAAAATCCATGTCACATGTTTTGGCCCTGCTTCTGTACCAAAAAAAACAGTCTGCATTTTTTCTTTTCTTTTATGGGGTGTTTATAGTACCTTATTATAAAATTTGGGTTGATGGTATGTAATACTATATCTTTATACAGTATTGCATGTATATGTATGTGTGTATGTGTGTGTGTGTGTGTGTGTGTGTGTGTGTAAAAATGCACTTCTGAGTTTCTAAACTCGCTCTGTGTTGCCTGCTGGCCTTTGCATGTCATCTGTGGCTTCTGCAAAACTTCCAAAAAATTCCCATTTAATTTCTTATGCAGACCAGCAATATATCAAAACTGCTATGGGGAAAGTCATGTTGTGGAAGGAATAACTGTACTCCTCATCTGTCAAATGGCAATAATAATGATATCTGGCCCATGGAGTTATTATGGGGATCAAAGGAGAATAATGCATTTAAAGTGATTTTAAAATTAAAGGTGCTATGTAAACGTCCACTACGGCTGTTATTTATGCTTTTAAAGCCCCTGTCCTCTTTCCACCATACCATACTAGGCCTCCAGTATCGAAACCAAGCAGGAGTGGATCAAGAACATTCGAGAGGTGGTTCAAGAAAGGATCATTCACCTGAAGGGTGCTTTAAAAGAGCCGATACAGCTCCCTAAGACACCAGCCAAACAGAGGAACAATAGTAAGAGGTAACCAGCATCTCTTTCTAACTCCCTCTCTTTCTCTCTCTCTTCCTCTATAACCCAGCACTGCCTTGGGTGAGTCCAGTGGGGCTGAAGCTAGGATCCTGCCCATGAATGGTGGCAGAGTTCTCATAGCCATGGGTCCCAGCCTTGCCTGATCAGTCACGGCTTAGTTTAATTCAGCAAATATGGACCGAGCACCTGCTATATGCAAAATGATGTACCAGATACTTCCAAGGGAAAGATGTAGCCCATGCCCCAGTGGAGCTGATAAGTAAGCAGGAGAAGCCCTAATGCCCTAAGAAGTTAAGTGGTGATGCAAGATTGTATTGACTATGAGTCAGGATGAGTAATGCAGATAGAGAATGCTGCCAGCAGCATTCAGCAAAGGGAGAGATCAGTAGAATGTGGAGAGCTTGGAGAAGATTACATTCAGTTCGAAGGGTGGCCCAAGGCTTGGTAACATGCTACCTCTCCCGACATTGCCCTCCATCATTCTAAAGTTCCTTATTCCCAGGCTCGCAAGAAGCCCTAGAGCAAAGCTCAGACATGGGGTTTGTGCATCATAGGTGAGGTTTGAATAACAACAGTGACAGCTCAGATTACTACCATTCTTGAAAGTTTGCAAATTCCTTTACAAACCTTATCTCATCTGGACATTATACCCCTACTATTATTATCCACAAGTGGCTTTGAGCCTTCCCAGTAACTCCTGTAAGCTGACTTTTCACTAAAATAATTACCAATATGCCATGAAGAACAGGATTTTCTGGGGTATGAAGTGAAGACTTGGTTATAAGTGATGGTTTTATCATTGATTTGCTGTGTGACCTTGGGCAAATCACTTTATATCTCTGGGCTTCATTGTTTTCATGTATAAAATGATCCTGTTTGTGGGCAGCTAAGTGGCACGGTAGATAGAGCACCGGCCCTGGAGTCAGGGGGACCTGAGTTCAAATCCAGCCTCAAGACATTTACTAGCTATGTGGCCCTGGGAAAGTCACTTAATCTTGATTGCCTCCAAAAAATAAAAATAGAATGATCCAGTTCAATTAGATGATATTTAAATACCCTATCAGTTCTAACAGTTCATGAATCTGAAAAATAAGGTAAATTCTAATAGCAAATTAGTTTAATATTATTAAATATTAACAAATCAATTATTTGATGTTAAGAATTAATACATTCTATAATAAATTAAGAGGCAGCATACTGTGGTTGCATAGGTAGCTGAATTCAAAACCAAGAAGACCTAGGTTTAAGCCCTGCCCCTGACATTTACTGGCCACATGATCCTGGGTAGTTCATTAAACCTTAGTGTTTTAGGTAATTCTCTTTTTAAAAAACAAACAAACAAACAAACAACAACAAAAACATTTATTGAACTCCTTCTTTGTTCCAGGCACTGTGCTAAGCACTTTACTATTTTATCTGATATTATTTCATTTAATCATCGTAACAACCTGGGAGGCAGGTGCTATTATTATCCCCATTTTACAGCTGAGGAAACTGATGTAGATACAAGTTAAGTGACTTGTCTAGGGCCACACAGCTAGTAAGTGTCTGGAGCTGGATTTGAACTTCTGTCTTCCTGATCTCTGGCCCAGCACTCTGTCCTCAGTGAAACCTAGCTACCTGCTAAACCTATAAGTTGCAAAGGTGACAACCTGCATTGGTAGAGGGAGTTTCCTGACCTGGGAGTTCTTTATATCAATAAAGTCGTGGGTCTAATCCCTATCCCTTCCCTAATCAATCATATTAAGAAAGGGTCCATTGCTGCAGTTGCCTGTCTTTTTTTCTCCAGTCCCAGCTCCGCCTGAAAAGCACACCATTTATCAAACGGATTTTTATGCAGGATTATGAAGGCAATGTGGAAAGGCGGGCTGGTGCAGGGATAGCAGGCCAGTATTAGAATCACAATGATCTGGGTTAGACCTTGCCCGTAACATATACTGGCTATCTAACCTTGTCACTGCCCCCAAGAAACTCTCTATAACTATAGGTTGCAGAGAAATTGTGTTTTTGCACTGGTAAAAATCTATTTTTACCAATCTGGTGCTCCATTATACCAGATGCAAGAGTGTCCCTGATACGCCTTGTTTTACAGGTGAGGAAACTGAGGCACAGAGAAAGTTAAGTGACTTGCCCAGGGCAACACAGAGAAGATGTGGCAAAGCTGGGAGTTGAACTCCAAATCCATTCTTCTAGTCAGAGCAGGGCAGAGTGGACTTTGTCTCTATCATAACTGTGATACTCAGATCCTAGCTAAATCCCAGCATTCCCCTGAGACATAGGAAATGCTGCCTTCTTTACCTTTCTTTTACCAATCTAAGCTTGTGGGAGGAGGAGGAAGAGAGCACATTTCTTGTATGGATGCTCCTGGCCTTCTGAAGCCTTCTTGAAGTGCCAGACTTCCAGGCCCAGGGTGTTCCTGAACTTTGGCTCAGACCAGATACTCAAGATTCTAAGGCCTGAGTGTCTATCACCCAAACATCTAGCCACCTAACCTGCCTGTTTTAGACAGAGTCTCTGGCTCCTCTGTACACTGCTCATGTGAACTCAGGCAAGCTGCTTCACTCCTCTGAACCTCAGTTTCCTCATTTGTAAAATGAGGGGGTTGGAGCAGCTGATCTCTACAATCTCAACCCGCTCTAAATCTTTGATCCTTCCCAGGTTCCCCAGTTAGCTAATTCTCTCTACCTCCCTTTAAAATACCTTGTTTTTATTTAGCTGGTTGAATGTTGTTTTCCTCCAGTCAAGTTCCCTCCTTCAGGGCAATCACTCAATCAACAAGCATTTATTTATTAAGCACCTACTATGTGCCAGGCACTATGTGCTAAGTGCTGGGGATACAAGTACATCCTTACTTGCAAACAGCTGTATATTCTAACAGAGAAGACAATAAGTACGCTAATGAATATGCATGTAGCTTAAAGTGAACAGATACAACTATATACAAAGTAATTTAATACAAGTTAGTTTATAAGGAAGTACCTAAGCAGTTAAGGGCTTCAGGAAAGGTTTCACATAGAAGATGGCCCCCAGGCTGCATCTTAAAGAAGATAAAGACTCTAAGGGGAAGAAATAAATAGGAAGTTCATTCCAGGAGGGGGAGAAGGATATGGTGGCTCAGGCAAAAGTATCTCACCACCTGGTACCTGGTAAGGACTTAATAAAATCTTTGGGGGCTTTGTTGTATATTTTGGTGAAATTGAATTCTTCAAGAAACACACAAAGAAAATGGGTCAAGGGCTAAGGGCCAAGGGTGGTAAAAGTTTCTCCTTCCCAATACCATGTCTTAGGGACAGAGGATTAGAGTTGATTGGCCAGCCCCCCAAACTCTGAGGATTGTCACTCATTGGAATAAGGAATATAAATAAAAAGAATCTTCAATCCCCTTTCCTTATGTAATGTCATCCCAGAAGAGGCATTATCCCTGGGGTCAGCCAGAATAAATAGAATGAGTAGCCAGGAAAGATCTACAGAGTTTGAGGTCTAATGACTGTCTAGATCCAGGCAAAGCTCAGAGAAGGGTCAATTTGGAGCAAAGATACAGCAAAGGGCTGAGGCACCATGACCCATACCATTGATCATCTCTTCAATGCTTAGAGGTGAGACCATGCCTCTGTCCCAACCCCTGGAGGCCAACTGATCTGCAGACCCACAGTAAGGCAGAAGATACGACCCCGACCCTTGGAGCTCTCCCAGTTTAATGGAGGAGACCACACAAATAGGCATGAAAAAATACATGAGAAACACAAAGAGGGGAAATCTCATAAATAAATGAAAACCAGCATGACTTTAAAGACCAGTTTTTCTAAGGGATAACATTGTTGGGTACAAAGGTAGAACTGGAAAGGGGGCATCTCAGACAAGTTCCCAGAGGAGGTAAGCTAGAGGGGGTCTTGAAACAGGTTCTGAAAGATAGGAGGGATGCTGTTTGTCCCTGGCCCCCCTGTCGATGTCCAGGACAAAAGAAAGCAAGGAAGCATAGCAGATACAACAAATGGAGACTATGGCAGAGGGGTCAAACATGTAGAGCCACCACACTGCCAAGTGCCCCACAACCAGATTACAATGTAATTGGGAAGTATTTAACAAAACAAATAAATAAAAACACAATAAAACATAGATAATGTTAATATGTGATATGGACTAAGTCAATTTGAGCCTGCAAGGATACTTATGTACCCCATTTCTATTTGAGTTTGACACCACTAGACTACGGGACTGGTAATCAGGCTAAATCCCTCTTCCTCTGCCGCTACAATACAAGGGAAGCCTCCCATCCCCACCCCCACCAGCTCCAGCCTCATATCACTGCCCTGAACCTGATGAGCTGGCTTCATCTACAGAGGAGACAGACACTAGCCAGGATGGTGGGAAGCAGTGTAGTCATAGCAGAAGGAACATAGGATATGGGGCCAGAGGAATTTGGTTCAAGTCCCACTTTTTCTACTTACTAGAAATTAGCAAAAGGGACCAGACTAATGATTTCATTGGCATGCAGAACTCGTAGATGAAGAAAAACTCCCTCTACCAATATAGATTAGCACCTTCTTTGAAACTTACAGTCTCTAAGAGTTGCCCAGAATGCTGAGAGGGGCAGCTAGGTGGCACAGTGGATAGTGGGTTGGAGTTAGGAAGACTTGAGTTCAAATCTGGCCTCAGACCCTTATTAGCTGTGTGACTCTGGGCAAGTCATTTAACCCTGTTTGCCTCAGTTTCCTCATCCATAAAATGAACTGGAGAGGGAGATGGCAAACCACTCCAGTATCTCTGCCAAGAAAACCCCAAATGTGGTCACAATGAGTCAGACACGATGAAAGCAACTGGACAACATTCAGGATGTATACAGAATGGCTAGAAGCTAATCTGAGTTGGAAAGCCATGAGCACAGCTGAGTGGACCAAGAAAGAGTACATTTCTAGTTGCATTTGACACTACTGGGCTGGCTGATAACCAGCCCAGAATAGCAATGTTCCTACAAATAATCACATACAAGTAATCCAAATGTGGTTGTATGTGACACCCCAAGAGTCAATGCAGTTTTAAGTAGTAATAGCTTATTACACTAAGACTTTTGGGACACCCTGTATTTAGCATCTCACCCTGAGATAGCTACAATATGGGTCATCCTTTGCTTCTGGAGCCCATGCACATGCATATGATTAATGATTTACTGGAAGCCTAGACCCACATGAGGATAAAAAGCTCTATAGTCAAAAAACCTGAATCTAAACGATGTCTCTAACGCTAATTTAGCTATGTGACATTGGGTAAGTGGATTAAGGTCTTTAGATGACATTATTATCTCTACCCAAAAAATAGAGGTAATAATATTTCCATTGTCTATCGCATAGGATTTTCTTCTGATGGTTGGAAGAGATAATAGGTTCATAAATTCATAGCTGGAGGGGACCATTTCATCCAACACCCTCGTTTTATCAATGAGTAAACTGAGACCCAGAGAAATAAAGTGATTTGCCTGAGGTGACCCAGCGGGTAAGCAGCAAAGCTGAGATTTTGACCTCTGGTCCTCTGATACCAGATCTGGTACTTTTTACACTATTCCATGAGATCAAGACATCTCAGTAGCATCATAGATTTGAAGCTGGCTGGCTGGGATGTCAGAAGTCATAAAATTGTAGATCCAGAGCTGAAAAGGACCTTATATCTCATCTAGTCCAACCCCTCAATCTACAGATGAAGAAAAAGACAAGCCAGAAAAATTAAGTGACTTACCCAAGGTCACACAATCCACAGAAAAGCTCTTCTGTCTCCAGATCCAGGCCTCTTCCTTTGTACCACACTTCCTCCCCCAGATGATGTATGTTAATTGCTTTGTATCTGTAAAGCTCCATTTATATGTGAATTCCCATGGTTATCATCATTATTATCACTGATAATGTTACCTTTCCCATGTAGAGAATCAGGTATGTGGTTCTTACAGAACTCTGCATGGCAAGAACTGTTGTTCTCTGGGATGACTCCTCCATCACTGTCCATAAACTCCCCACCAAGTCTCTTCTTCCAAACACAAAAATTCAGTCTATTGATGGTTTCACCAAAGAAGAGAGAACTAGAATGGGACCAGTGTCTTGTCTATTTCTATCAAGAAGCTATGGCCCTGTGGATTGTGTCAATGGTGTGGCCAATGTGGTCCTGGCCATGGACTCAGTGCAAGAGTGAGGCATGACCCCAGGATGAGGGGGCAGGGAGACTGTAATGTATACAAGCATATTTTCTGATCCACCCTCCTCCCCTCTACCAAAGTGCTCCATTTAAAAACATTTAGATTATCCTCAATTTGGAGAAGTGAGAGATGTGAGGCTGCCAGGGATAGCAGAGCTAAAAGCCAGGAGCAGCCCATATCCCGTCCTACCAAATATTTAGGAGTTTATAGACACAGGAGTGTCCCTTACTCCTTATATGGCTATCCAAAGGCTGATGCAGGTAGGATATGGCTAGCACCTTCATCTTGGAGCCTGTAGTCTCACCTGCTGTGTTAATGATCCCAGAATCATTGAATAGAGATATTGGAGAATCGGATAGAGATCATTTAGTCCAACCTCCTGATTTTACAGCTAAGGAAACTGAGGCCTAGAGTCACAAAGTGACTTGCCCACTCACACAAGCAGCAGATACAAGATTTGAACCCAAGTCTTAAAAACTTTTTTTGATGCATCATACTGTCCCTGAGGGTACCAAAGGGTGAGGGGAAAAAATGACTTCCTTGGCAGCCAAAAGCTGAGTCTCCAGTATCAAAGATTCAGCAAAGAGAAATCCCTCCTGCAGAATTTGTTTAGCCCTGTGCTTAGAAGTAAGAAGGACCCGGGAGATTTCCTAGTCCAAACCCTTGATTTCAAAGAATCAATTATTAATGTGAAGAAACGAAGGGCCAGAGAGAAGCAACTTACCATTAATGGCAGAGCTGGGACTAAAAGAATCCACATCTCCTGCTCCCCAGCTCAGTTTTCTTTTCTCTGCAACATGTTATGGGGGCAAATAGGTGGTACAATGGCTAGAGCACTGAGTTCAAATCCGGCCTCAGACACTTACCAGATGTGTGACCCTGGGCAAGTCACTTCACTGTTTGCCTCAGTTTCCTCATCTGTAAAATGAATTGGAGAGGAAAATGGCAGTATCTTTGCCAGTCCCAAATGGGGTCACAAAGAGTTGGATATAACTGAAACAACTGACCACAAAATATGCTGTATCACCCCCACCCCAACAATGTAAGGAGCACAAACCAAGAAAAGGTCAAACAGTTCCCAGTAGCGACCCTGCTGTTTCTGCTCATTTGTTTCTTTCCACAGCCTCACATTAGTTATGGTCTACGTGGCCACCCCACCCCCAGCCTGGGTACAGCACAGGGCAGAGCTGCCTGAATAGCCCTCACTCTAGGGTTGCTAACAGCCACACTGTCATTTGGCCAGAGCCTGGGCTCTAAATAAGGTGATGTGTCTTCCTGCTGCCTCTTATAGACCTGTGCCCAGTGCTGGTCTGGGGAATTGGGGGGGGGAGGGCTCATTCTGCTTGCAGCCACCAACATGGTGATTATGGGCTTTGCCCCATGTCAGAGGTGACATCACTGAAAATCACAGAGTGAACCTTCTTCCAGCTGGGTGATTTGAGCCAAATCCCTGCCTGAAAGTGCTCTACTATTCCCAGATGGAAACTGTTGTGTGCTTCTTAAGCCCCGGTCATTCCCTCTCCCTCCACCCTTCCCCCTTGTTTTTCCCCTGCAGGGATGGAGTAGATGATATTGACAGCCAGGGGGATGGGAGCAGTCAACCAGACACTATCTCCATCGCTTCCAGAACCTCTCAGAACACAGTCGACAGTGACAAGGTAGGACAGTTTCCTAGCTCCCCACCCCACTCCCAGGACTTTTTTACTTCCTGCCCCACCCCGGGGGAAGACCCCCTTCCCCAAGGAGCCTCTCACCTGGGGAATATAACCCAGAAGGTTATATTCTCAGAAGGAATATAACTCAGAAGGGGTGCGGGGAGAGAGGAGCATTGGAGCAGGGCCGAATGAGGTATGTCAGCTATGGGAACTGCAATGGCTTTGGGGATGGAGGATTAGGGTTGCTTGGTCAGTCCTCCAAACACTTCGAGAGAGTTGTCGGGATGAGAGGTGGTAATAAGGAGCGAGTCTCGCCATTCCTTCCCTTCCCTTCTCAAATGCTCTGCCTTCCAAAAGGATGGGAATTCTTGGGGCAGTTTTTCTGCGTCTTTTTTGACTGCTGCTTCCTTATGTTCATACTGACTTGAATGCCAGCCCAAGAGAGTGATTTGGAGGATGGCCAGGGTACAGCTGGATGGTGGGAACGTTATCCACGGTGCTTTCTATGGTGATATGACCTTTCTCCCGAGGGGACCTGTTTGGAATCCTGGGACTCAGTCCCCCAGGGCAGAGGCAACGAGGACAGAGTGTGTGAAGCAGTTTGGAGAGGATGTGTCAATCTTGGCAACGACCCGGGTAGGTAGCTGTGTCAGGTTTTAAGCCAAGTAAGCATGTGTTGTAAGGTCTTTCTTGGGGAGAGAAAGGAAGGGCACTTATGGCCCTATTTCTTGACTCCCCAGCTGGGCAGTGGGATTAATCCAACTGTCTGAATGTTGTGGTCTCCTTCCTTTGTGATGGTTGCGCGTACGTCCCACCCTTGCCCACCCAGCGTGGGCAGGGATGGGAGTAAAATTGGCATTTCTGCTGCATGTTGGTGGCATTTGTTGTCGGTGAAGCTCTGAGGCTTCAAGTACCATCTGGCGCTGGTGCTGCCTGGCCTGGTGCACTGGCCTCCCCCCTTCCCCCTAAGGCTGGGAGAACAGGCTGTGTCCATACCTCATGGTCATTCTCTACATTTGGGACTATCTATTTGGCCTGGTAGTTTGTCACTAATTAATTAGGATTTTTACCTACGTCTCTCTCAGCAGAACAGAAATGTTATCTAAATCCTGTGGTAATCATAAAGTAAATAGGCCTGATATCACTCCAGGGGCAGCCTAGCATAGTGGTTTGAGGGCCAGCCTCAGAGACAGGATGAATGATAATAATAATAGCTAACATTTATATAACACCTACTATGTGCTAGGCATTGTGCTAAGTGCTTTTTAACACAAATAACACTTGAACTGGGTTCAAGTTTTATCTCTGATATTGACTGGCTCGGTGATCCTGGGAAAATCACTAAACCCCTTCAGTGCCTCAAATATTGCTCTAAGATTCTAATTGGAAGAACAGTTTCGGATCTGTATTGATAGAGAGAATTTCCTCATCTACAGTGCTTCCACCAATGAAAGTAAAGATGTAGACCTTTATTTTAAAAAAAAAAACATTGCTCTAGAGTAGTAAACTTTCCCTGAGCATAGGTTCCCAGACTTTCATGGTTCAATTAACCAGTCCCTTGCCTTCAGATAGAATAGCACTGAAAACCTTCTTTAACTATAGAGAAAGATCAGGTCTCTCTTCTTCTTAGAATCTATACTGAGATAATTCTTCTCTTTCTAATTTTCCACATTAAGCAATTTCATCTAGACTTGTCCTGTAAATGCAACCTTGTTTTGGAATATTTGCCATGTATGGACACAGCCTATTGGTCCCCAGTTTCAAGGGTCTTTTGCCCCACCTATCCCCCCAAGCCAGCTCTGCATTTCCCCACCAAAGCCTGTGACTCAGAGACAGAGCCTTGAACTTAGGAAATGTCTCCTGGTTGAAATTTGGCTTGGGGAAACCCCAGGCCCCAGTCATTCTCCATCCTTCCTCCCAGGTAAGTGAGCCTAGCCTATCTTCTACTGAGTGTTGTCAGGACCAAGCAAGCTCCCCCATATGCCTTCTTCTCTCATGGAGTCATAGGATTGCAAATTTAGAACTGGAAGGGAATTTAGAGGTCATCTAGTCCAACCCCTTTTATTTTATACCTGCAAATACTGACGTCCCAAGAAATAAAATGACTTACCCAAGGTCACACACTAAGTGGTAGGGCTGGAGTTTGAACCCAAACCCTCTAATTTCAAGTCCTAGACTCTGTCCACAATACCACACAATTCACATCAGTGGAATCGTGTGTAAGGACCAAGCTGATGGACTCATGGAGATGATACTGGGGCTCCCATGGGGCATAGAACCATATGATATCAGAGGAAAGATGAGTCCTATGGATTTTCCATCCCTAACATCCTCATTTCCTGGAGGAAGAGGAGCTAATGCCAAGAACAGTCAGGTAACTTGCCCCAAAGTCACAGCACCAATTAGTGATAGGCAGAGCTAGTACTAGAAGCACCCAAGTCTCCAGATTTCCCAGGCAGGTATTTATCTATTCTAAGAGGCCAAGTCCTGAATTCCCTTAAAAGATCAATAATCAGCATCCACTGATCAGTACCCTAAGGCAGGGGTGTCAAACTCACATAGAAAGGGGGGCCACCAAACTATAAATAAGGATCCCTGAGGGTTGCATGACTTAGAGAACCACACATGTTTATACATATATATTCATATAATTATATATAAATATGTTATATATTATATTACATTTAATAAAATGTTATATTTTATAATTATATATTTTATATTGTTTTATAATATAACCATATAGTATATAATTTATTATCATTGCTATAATAAATTATATAAGATATGTTATATAATAAATTTGTGATGATTATATATAATATGTATCATATTATATATAATTATGTGTAACTAACATAGCAACAAGTTAAAATCAGATAGGACCTATGCTTTTATCCAGTTTGGGCCATGTCAGGGAGTGTCGTGGGCCCTATGTGGCCCACATAGGGATGGAGTAGATGATGTTGACAGCCAGGGGGATGGGGAGCAGTCAACCAGACACCTTCTCCATTGCTTCAATTGGATCTATGTTTAATATTTCTACTCTAAGGAGGTCAGTCAAAACAACCTTGGCGAAACATTTGCTGTGTAAGTAGCCCTAAGATGGATTCAATGAAAACAGAAAGAAAGTATAGAAGATATGTAGTCTCTTTCTTTTTGGTGCTTCCAGGATAATGAGACCTGATATTATAGTAATTGCCTATCTTTCAAGTCCGTTATCTAATAACCTTCACTATCAGGCTTTTATCTAATCTGATTCCCTTCTAAATATCTCCAATCCTCTTCCTCTTGTCTTGTGTCCTTCATGTAGATGAAAAACAGCCCAATCATTCTTTTGTTCAGGAAGGAAAGGTTGCTTGTTGAGAATCCCAGATTAGAGCTTAGAGATCACCTAGTTCTACTCCCTTCATTTTACAGATGCAGAGACAAACCCTTAGGGGTTGAGATTCATCCAAAGTCACGCAGCGATATCTGGCAAAGCCAAGGCTCCAACCCAAGTCTTCTGGCTTGTATTTCCAAATTTGGGGGTTAAGTTTAAAACACACACAGACACACACAATAATAATAGAGTCCAGTTCAAGGACATGTGTGACTGTGGCCTATTTCTTGCCAAGGGAAATGCCGCCTGCACTACATTGCTGTTCTGGATTCATGTTCTAGTCCCTACTGAGGACTATTCTTTGTATCAAGAGCCCACAGAGCTTCAGAGCCTGCCAAGCACAAAGAAGAGCCCTGATCCCTCTGGGGCCTTCCCTACTCCCACCTCTACTCTTCCCTCAAAGCCTCAAACACACATCTCAATCAATCAGGGAGCATTTATTAAACACCTGTTATATGCCAGCCACTGTACTACGCACCAGCAAATACAAAGATCAAAACAGTGACTCAACCCCTATGTCTGTGAAGTAATGGAATATACTTTACAATAATGATAATGACATTTTATGCAGCACTTACTATGTGCCAGGCATTGTGCTAAGATTTGCTCCTCATAACAACCCTGGGAGGTAGATGCTATTATTATTGTCCCTGTTTTACAGTTGAGGAAACTGAGGCAAACAAAAGACACTTACCCAGGACCTTACAGTTAGTAAGTGTCTGAGTTCACCTTTGAACTCAGGTCCACCAAGACTTTATCCTTTGTGCCACGTAGCTGCCCCATGCTATGGGTCCCTTGGGTCCCTTCCCTTGAGCATGGGGAGCTGAGGAAAGGAGGAGGGCTTGAAGAGGCAGTGGTGACTAGGAGGAGGAAATAGCAGAAGTGGGGAGCAGCACAGTAAGGGATAGTGGAATGGAAGGCATAGAATTATTCCATCTCTTCCTCCTTTCATAAGTCAGTCTTTGCAGCTATGTGCCGTGGGACTGTGATGAAGCTGGAGTAGGGCGGCTGGGTGAGCTTTGGGAGAGGACAATTGCTAAGCATTATCTCTAACTTTAGGAAGAAGGCGATAGGGAGGGTGGAGGTTTGCCTCTTAGATGTAATTACTGGTGGGAATACACATAGAAATACCACCTCTTTAAGAAAAAAGAATTATTTAAGGGAAGGTCTTCATGAATATTTCATTCAATTTCTCTAACATTCCAACAGTCTAACGGAGATAAATAACACAGTGTAGTGTCCTCCTTGACAGCACACTGATCTCTCTTCAACAGGGAAGGCATTATTAGACTGGTAGATATTTCCATCTCATTCACAGGCTCTTAAGCTGCAAGAGACTACAGAGACCATCTAATCCAAACCCCTCATTTTACAGATGAGGAAATTGAGTCTCATAAGGCAAAAAGCAACTTTCCCAAAGCTATATAGTAAGTGGCAGAGACAAGGTTTAAACCTAAGTCCTTGGACTCTTAATCATCATTTTTTTTCACTATACTATACTATATACTATATACATTGTACTGTATTTTTTCCACTATACTATAATGCATCTACCCCGAACCCCTGCTTTTCTTTTTGCAACCCAACAAAAATTTATCAATAGCTAATTATGGGTAGAGAACCCCATTAGGTGCTAGAGGACAAAGTTTAAAGATTTGTCTCAGTGACCTTCTGTAGACTCACTGAAGTCTAATGATATCTATTTTTAAATTTCCCCCATTATAATTTTCTTAAATTATTTTTAATTATAAGCTTAACAATCAACAAACCTTGTAAAACCAGGAAACATTTTATTCCCAGGTATCCAAGTAACTAGCTAATGTATAGTCCTTGGGACTTGGGACTTGACTTGGGACAATAGAAAAAAAGCATTGTTATTATTTAGTCGTGCCTGACTCTTCATGACTCTGTGGACCCTAGCATACCACTACCATTTCTTGGCAAAGGGTTAGGCTTAGTTTGAGCAAGAAGGAACCTTCTCCCCAACAGCTGCCCTAGTAGGTCCAAGGAACCCAAGTTTAATGAATTATCATTTCCAATGCAAAAAAAAAAATGCTTTCTTGGGTGGTGTTGTATAGTCATTTAGTTGTGTCTGACTTTTCTGACCCCGCATGGGGTTTTCTTGGCAGAGATGGTGGAGTGGTTTGCCATTTCCTTCTCCAGTGGATTAAGGCAAACAGAGGTTAAGTGACTTGCTCAGGGTCACACAGCTAGTAAGTGCCCGAGGCTGGATTTGAACTCAATTTGAACTTCC